GATCATGGTGTAGATAGTTGATGTTATCATGGTGTAGATAATTGATGCGATCATGGTGAAGATAATTAATGTGATCATGGTGTAGATAAGTGATGTCATCATGGTGTAGATAATTGATGTGAGTGTGGTGTAGATAATTGATGTGATCGTGTTGTCGATAATTGATAGTATCATGGTGTAGACAATTGATGTGGTCTAGTGTAGATAAGTGATGTGATCGGAAGAAAATTGTTGTGACCGTGGTGTAGATAATTGATGTGAACGTGGTGTACATAATTGATGTGATCTAATGTAGATAATTGATGTGATCGTGCTGTAGATAATTGATGTGTTCATTTTGTAGATATTTGAATTGATCATTGTGTTGATAATTGATGTGATCATGATGTAGATAATTGAAGTGATCATGGTGCAGATAATTGATGTGACCGTGGTGTAGATAATTGATGTTATCATGGTGTATATAATTGATGTGATTATGGTGTAGATAATTGTTGTGATCATGGTGTGAGTAATTGATGTGATGGTGGTGTATACAATTGATGTGATAATGATGTAGATAATTAATGTGATCATGGTGTAAGTAATTGATGTAATCGTGATGTAGATAATTGATGTAATCATGGTGTAGATAATTAATGTGATCATGGTGTGAGTAATTGATGTGATCATGGTGTAGATAATTAATGTGATCATGGTGTAAGTAATTGATGTGATCGTGATGTAGATAATTGATGTAATCATGGTGTAGATAATTAATGTGATCATGGTGTAAGTAATTGATGTGATAATGATGTAGATAATTAATGTGATCATGGTGTAAGTAATTGATGTAATCGTGATGTAGATAATTGATGTAATCATGGTGTAGATAATTAATGTGATCATGGTGTGAGTAATTGATGTGATCATGGTGTAGATAATTAATGTGATCATGGTGTAAGTAATTGATGTAATCGTGATGTAGATAATTGATGTAATCATGGTGTAGATAATTAATGTGATCATGATGTGAGTAATTGATGTGATCATGGTGAAGATAATTAATGTGATCATGGTGTAAGTAATTGATGTAATCGTGATGTAGATAATTGATGTAATCATGGTGTAGATAATTAATGTGATCATGGTGTGAATAATTGATGTGATCATGGTGTAGATAATTGATGTGATCATGGTGTAAATAATTGATGTGATCATGGTGTAGATAATTGATGTGATCATGGTGAAGATAATTGATGTGATCATGGTGTAGATAATTGATGTTATCATGGTGTCGATAATTGTTGTGATCATGATGTTATTTATTGATACAATAAATAAGTTTAATTAATACTTCAGTAGGACCGAAAAAAAGATTAGAACATTCAAAAGTGTACTACGTAGAAATTATATACACCTGCCACACAGCACTTTATTTATTGTGGAATTCTTGAAATGGGAGATATGCCTTGACATAAAATCAAAATATTTAAGTGACAACTCAGCTTTGTTTAGTAACGAACAGCTGTCCTTTTAGCTGTCCTACTAAAAAGATGGTAACGGCTGTGTTTATGATGATATATTTGTTTAACTTAGTTAAGTCGCATCAACAGAGTTGATGTTAAATTGCAACTCCAGCTTGACTGGTAAAATAATACCTCCGGTGTCCCTCTGCACATTATTACAGGCACAAATGGCTAGACTTACATTGATATACATCAATAAGCACATTATAGACATATTAAAAGAAAGGAAACATACCATTTTTCCTAACATATTGTTACTTCGAAAGGCTTCCACTCGCTAAAATTTAATGACCCCTAATGATAAGGATACTCAAATAAGATAACGGAACCGAATTAGCCGAAATATACATATAAACAGCAATCCACGTTCAAAGGTCACGGGATTGTTGAAGTTAAGGATATAGAGGTTATTGAATGTGTGTAAGTTCAATACTGAATTTATTGCACGAGTTGAATAAAATTATATTATGCGAGCCTCTGTCGAGCATAATATTATTTTATTCAACGAGTGCAATAAATTCAGTAATGAACTTACACGAAATTAATATTCTATTTATCACATACCCAAAATAAAGACCGTTAAAGTGAAATAAGAGTCATTTTTCATCGACGCGCCTATAGTATAACGCTAACATTTAGCGCGTCTTTACACTATGTTTGTATAACGCTAATGACGTCACGTCAAAATATATGCACGGCCGTGCAATACCATATTTACGGAGTCGCAAAATCGGCACGGGTGTGTGATAAAATAATTTATTTATGAACTTTTATTTGAACACGGTACCTATATTACGTGACTTTTTTATCTGCAAAAATCAGCGAATTTTAGAGCTATTTTTGTACGACATATCGCATAAGAAAGACCACCAATTTTACAAATGCAATAGCTGTTGGGGTTGTCGTCCATGGCACTAATTGGAGCCCCCTAGCCTTTTAGTATACTAGACAGTACACATTGTTGGCAATCCTTTTTTCTGCAACATATCTCTACATTTTGATTTAGAAATATGATCGGTCTTTGAGGCGATAATCGGTTATTTAATGTGGATAGATCTACAATGGGCACATTTTCCATAATTATTTTAAATATTGATAAACGAAAACAGTGGAAATGCATGGTTTGAATATTCTTCTCAATTAATGTCGATGAATACGATGAATAATAATATTTTGTTCCCTTACATTTTATTATCCGCTATATAAATATTTGAAATAGTCCATCACGTATCTTACATTTGCCACCAACTTCAATGTATAATTATTTCGCAGTTGGTTTTAATGTCTTTACTGAATATTATCAGAGTAATAACTTAATGAATTATAGACCTTTCATTATAGACCTATTCACTTTAAAACCGGTTTGTCGTTTTGATGAGAAAAAATTAACCACTCAGGCCGATATTGTTTTGATTCTAGCTTGACAAAATAAGGAAGATCACCAAAGCTTAAGCGAAGAATACTTCCGCTGCCGATTTTTGTACCTGCAAAAACTATAAATAATTTCATTTTGGACCTCTACAGTTAACAGTGTGACTATTGGATTATTCCTAATAACATATTTCTTTTCGTCTTGGATAAAGTCAAGTTGGTAAAGTAGACTCCACCTTTCACAGAATCAAGAATGACATAAAGTTCCAGTGTCCATATATAGGACATCTCAAAAGCATCTTCAAAGAAAATCATATAGACATGTAATTTTCTCCATCAAAACTTTTAAGCAAAGACAAGATTATCTTATAATTATTTTTATTATTTAACTTACAATCTGTTATAGTCTTTATTTCGTTGTCATATGTAGATATGTTAATATGATTATCATGAAATGTAACGTAAATAACTTATGGTACTGGTAAAGTATATGTAATTGACTCCTGCTATGTAACATGTATGTAGTTGTTTATATGTTATGACGATGGACCAAAGTGTTAAAGTTAATTCTGTTGAATAAACTTCGGTTCTGTTCTTTATAAATAGATAATAAAAATGTACAATACTTTTAGAGTATAAAAAAGGTCCAATTTTTATAAATGCTTGGAAAACCGGAATAACGGACCGAGGTGAACAGAACAAAGCCATGGAAAGTAGGTGCGTGCGCTTTTATGTGTTTGGTATCTTCAATCGGATAATTTGAAGTCATGCACTTAATCACTTGTGCCATCATATATAACAGTTTAAAAGTATTTGAATGTAGAATGTTTATATTCATCTGAATTTCGAACATTCCTCCAGTCCGTACTGTACACACAGTAACGATGGTCCTACTGTAACATGTGAAAGTAAATTTCTTGATGAACATGTGTTAAGTTCTGTTACCTAGGTGTTTTATGCATCGTTAGTCATGGAAAGCCAGGAAAATGTTACATATGTTAAAATATAAAAAACAAATGTGGATGTAACTGAATCACTAATAAATGTTGTAGACTTCTTAATCTGACTGGATGGTAGTACTAGATTGCAATAACAATTGTCGCCATGAAAGAGGGCTTGAAATATTCTCCTTTTTTCATTCAATATTTTGACGACCTTAAATGACAAAGACGTCTATTTTGTTATACTTCGTATCTCTTGAATGATTAATAAATAAGTAAATTCATGTTATTTTTGTCTTTATTAAGATAAAGTTTTTCACCCATCACCAAGAAGTAATTTCATGACAACGTCTGAATTCATCCTGAAAGAGAAAAATGCCTCTTCATTAGGAAGTTTTGAAATCGTTTATCGGATCAATTACAGTACATGTACGTCTCTAAAACAATTTCATTTACTTATTCCCTGTTTACATTCGAGAACATAATGCATGATAAATACAGTACATACAATTAGATACATATAGAGCAGAGGGCAATACAAAGATACAACTTATATTTCGAGCAAGAAATGATTACAAGAACAATTTAAATATATTCATCTGATTATCTAATACACATTGCAATTCAATTTGACAATAACATAATAGTTACTTATTATATTTTTTCTTTTTGTCCGCAGTGATGTTGTGATAAATAGATTACAGACTATTGTGTTCAGATTTCTTTTTGTTAAAAAAATGGGCATATGTTTGATTTTATCATCATCATTATCAATACCATCACCCACAAATATCACCTACGAATGTTGTGTAAGTTGAGATGCAAGGACAGACGCACAGTGCAATTTTAATATGCCGCCTTTCGTGGGCATAAAACGTGGGCCTATGTTTGCATTCATGATCATCATGATCATCATCATCAATATGATCACCCATAAATATCATCGTCATAATTATCATAATTATTATCATTAACATTCTTCTTCAAGTTATGGTCACTTTTCTTATCTATTTCTTATATTGTTAAAAGGAGTATGAGTGCACTTACAAATATATGTAAAATATTTACACATAGATGTATAACGAAATAACATACCAACAATTATGACGTCAGTGCCATTTGGTGACGTCTTTGAGCAATCGGCATTGCAAAGGTCAGCGTCGCAGCAGGTTTTACATACGGGCGTTGATCGCGATTCTCGTGCAGATGTGACGTCAGTTTGCCTCTTGTGCGAAATACACTAAAAATGGGAAAATGTTACACTTTATAAAAAACCTGTTTCCGTATCTTTTTTAAATTTAGCACTTATATAATAATAGATACATGAGGTTTTTCTTCAGGAAAATCATATGGCCTTTCTTAATATATATCAAGAACATAAAAGATTCAAGCCCTACATCGTGAGTGATTGTTACAGACTGAATTTGGTGGTACCCCTAACTTTGATTTTAATGGAACTGGAACAATCAAAGCTCTTTTTTTTATCTACTTTTACTGTATCTTATTGTAAGTTCAAGTTAGACCTAGATTCTAAAGATGGAATTTCATCCAAAACGTCGAAGAAACAATTCCCTTAGCCTATTTGGTTTATTTAATTGTTCAATCATTGAGAAAATGACTTTCTGGTGTGAAGGCTTGTATTCTTAACAAAAAACATTTGTCAAAAGTTATTTTGTTATAGAAAAGTGTGATTTTTTTAAATATAAAATCATATCTTCATAGCAACGATTTTAAATTTTGAACGAGATTTTAATGAAAAGCAAAAGTAAATAAAAAATGGCTGGATTTGTTGGATTATTTAATGGAATAAAAATTGTGTTACAGGTCAAATGTCTATATCACCGTTAAATATATAGTTTCCTTTTTTCATCACTAGCAAAATCGGTATCAATGTTTCAGGGAGAGCAGGCATTCATAAAAACGCTAAAGTGTTGTATTTTATATCAATACCTGTTTGTTATGACATTTTGCTGTGTAATGGTCATATACACCACCCTCGTCATACTTTTCTACACTACAAACCTAGAAACAAAATAAAAATATTTAAAGACGATTTGTTAGGTTTCTTCGTCACATATCTGCTCTCTCACTCTAATGAGGAACTGCCAACAAGTTTTTTCCATTTATTTCGTAAAGTGAAACCACGTTCATGATTGGTAACTTTGAAGCCGTTTTATTTTGTAAAACTTAATTTTAATAAAAGAGCATATCAAAATATACGCTCATTTAGCTGATACTTGGACACACTACTGTTCAACAAAGTGAACGGCATTGAATATTCAACTGATACCTAGGAAAGTATCCAATGTATAAAGAAAAGCAATTCATCTACAACCACAGATGATTTTTCTACTGATTACTATACCTATGCACTACATAAATAAGGAGTGTGTAGAATGGCGTCTTACCTCGTCTTTGGAACACAGCCTTACTGTCCTACACTCATCCATATTAGAAACATACGAGCAGTCGTAGCATAACGGTCCTCGTAGTTTAGGGGGAGGCAAACCTGAAATTGCCATTTTTTTTAAAGATACAATGTATGATGGGCATATTATAATCATTAAACTGTAATACAATGACTATAACAAAATTGTTTATCTTTGACAGCATAAAATTCCTAAAGGATAACATGAGAAAAGATTTCAACACCATGCCTTAAATGTATCTTTTAGATATCAACTATTTTTATTTAAGCCGGTATTTGACCAAAATTCTTATTTTGACTTCTTGCCTGGCTGTCAATATGAAAGTTTATACCATAGACTATTGAATGTTGAAATGTAAAACCCAGGAACGACTTCCATTCTCAACTCCCTTCACTTAGTCGAAGGCCGTTCAAAGAACTAAGTTATGGTCGTTTTTTTATATCCCTTTTTTGTTGTTATTTTGCTGCATACCACCGCCAAAAGCCATTTTAAGATGCTATGCAAGTTTTATTATTATTATTATATTTTTGATGTTGTATCTAAGCTCTTTCGCTATCACCGCGAGTCAAGACAGTATGACGTTTTAGTTTGTTGACGTCTTTTCGTCCTTTTTGCTATCACCGCGAGACAAGTCAGAAATATTTTTGCAACTTGTTTGCGGTTTTTCGCTTTTTGCTATCACTGTAAAAAAATACAGAAAATCTGTTTTAACCATGTTTGCGTCTTTTCGCCTTTTGCTTTGACACCGCGAGACAAGACTGCAATCTATTTTAAACTTGTTTTCATCTAGCGCTGCGTGACAGTAGAACCAATCAAAACAACTCGGGTGACTATAAGGAGTCACCGGAGACAGCCCAGTTGTACGGATTGCGGCAGAACAAGGTATTTACGACATACCATGTATTTTATATTAATACAGTTTAAGTATCACAAAGGAAAAGTTCTATGTAGTTATATAAAGTATAAACTTGTTATGGTTACTGACTGCAAGTAACAAAAACGTTAAAAATTGTTTTCTTACCCTCAGCTCCACAGCCGTTTGAATTGCAAAGTGATGAAGAGCAGCAGTGAACACATTCGGATGTACTCTGATTTGTTTGTCGTTTCTTACTAGAACATTGCTGTTAAAGCAAAATGAATCAAAACATAATAAAAAAGACTTTTCCATATATTACATGTCTTGAATTTACATTGAAATCATCCTATGTTTCTTTCGAATGAATTCGTGAATGATCACCTTGATCGCCGCTATAAACAAGACAATTCGTTTACTTTATATCCCCCGGCCCCCCCCCCCTCGAATACGGGTTATTATTAATCACAAAAAAAGTCCAAAAACGGTCATAGACGAGTTCATTCTTTATCATTTCAACATGTTGGATTCTCATTCCTTTATCATATATATAATAGTAAATACATAACAAGATATTGTTATATTTTACAAAATATTCAAAAAATTGTTCTCGAAGGAAGGTCATCCATAAAGGTTCGTTTAAATCCAGTAAGTAGTTGCCAAGAAGTATCGTTGGCAGACTATTACTCTGTATATATATATACTATATAACTATTCATTGGCAGTTTTGTTATGGGCATGCAGATGATATGCGGATATTATCTCATGCGCATCCGGAAATTACCTCGGAAAGAAAATTCGGACGGAAGCATGGAGGAACCTTATGGGGTTGTTTTATTTCTTTTTTAGTCTTTTTTACATACCACAATCAATTTTTATACACCATAATTTATTTTAAACCAAGAATTTGTTCGGGATTAACTTCATAATGTTAAGTTGTATTCAAAACATACCCATAATTGTAATGTTTATCCTCTAAGATCGGACGTAAGGATTGACGGACGGACAATGACAAAACAATATCATCTTCCCATTTCATCGGCGGAGGATAAAAACATTTCAATAATGGCCTGGTCCTTTAAAGAAAACATTATTTCGAATACAAGCCTGTGTCACTGTGTATGTGTCTGTTTAGTTGATTGTTTGTTTGTTTGTTTACCTCGGAGGCCAAGCATCCGCTGTTGTACTTCACCTGCCCACTGTTGGTTTTATAGGTCTCAACATGACATACCTTAAAAATACAAATCACGTATACCATGTTTAGATCGCCTATAGTATGTCTGGTCTACGATGTCCGTTAGGACCAGTGCGTTTTCTGTGAGAACTTAAAGCGCGAAGAACTCGGTACAATGGTGACAGTCCATCGTGGTATTGTCACCACCGTACTGTCGCGCTAACCTATGGCACTTAAGTATTATCACCATCGTAATGTCATGCTTCGCGCTTTTCGTTCACAGAGAAAACGCTCTGGCCATAACGGAATACCATATTGCCATGGCCAGACTGCATCAAATAACTACGGTGTTCCGTTAGGGTACAGCAGGAAGGTTAAGCGCGGCAGTACGATGGTGACAGTATGACAGTACTATGATGATAATGCGACAGTACGATATACTGTCACCATCATACTGTCACCATCGTAATACTTTTGCGATTTTTGTTTTCAAACCTTAACGGAATACTGTTCATATAACTCTAAATTTTGCACCATAGTACATCATTTTGATACATTTGTATTTACATGTAATTATATAGTTTAAATAATATTTTCATACAAAATTGCATTTGCAAGTTCGTGAATTAAATACATTTCAATCTCTGCAGTGCGGCCTTAAGTAGAGCAATAACGTCTTTGCAACAACAATATACATGCATAGTGCAATAGTTTCACTGTATAAATTAAAACACATAGGGACACATACGTTCTTTACCATTAAAGCTTGTTTATTTGTTTGTTATATTTTACGCCTTTTCCCAACAGTATTTCAGTCAGATAGGCATTAAAGCTTGAAAGTCGTCGTTTGCTGTTTACAGTGTCAATGTTACTATAAGCTTTAAGTCCGACTTACAAATTGTAATGATATGAAAATGTAAAAAATGTATACCTGGCCGCTCGAACATTTAGTAACGGCGTCACAGAGGTACAAATGAGTCATATCCTTACAGTCGAAACACTTTAGTCCGTCATTCCCTGTGCTCTCTGATAACCAAAACAATATGGAAAGAAATACAATTGAGTAATACTATGACAATGTAATGAGAATTAGGTTCTTATTAATTGTGCGAGTAGGTGCTACATCTATATTGGATTCCAAATCAATAATACTCCGGTTTGCATAAATTAAATGTTACCAGCACCTTTATTGTGTACTGGAGTGATTATGGTCGTTGACTTGAAAACACTTACCTCATACCGCTGTGGGTCTCTTTCAAACGTTGAAAGTAGCAAAATGAAAAACCTCAGAAAGCTACTACAACATAATATTAGAACGTAAATATCTAAAGAAATTTTTTTTAAAATGTATATACGGCTATGTTATTTCCATAAAATTATGGTAGACTCTCAAAATAGTTATGATAAAGACTTTCTCTGTTGTTTAGCACACATGCATATTTCATATATTACTTATTACATTTAGAATAAAATTATCCTGAACAAAATATCATCCGATATGCTGTTATTTAAGTAGATTTTTATCATAAAGCAATGATTTCATGCATACGCATAAGCATATTTCCAAACATATTTCTATCATTCTTATACTTTGAAATTATTTTTTTTCAAACTTCAAGCATAATATTTTAACTTCTGACAGCAGACACATAGTTAAAACACATCAAGTAGCTTTTAAAAAGTGTATTGTGGTCTCAAAAATTATCCATCAAAATGATGATTATTGACAACAAAATCCGCAATTATTATCACCTGTAAAATTTTGCTTCACACAAAGCACAGAAATTACTAAACGATCTTACATAACTCCACGCTGTTAAAACCAATCCTTTCTTAACATCTTTTATTCCTTTCTTAACGTACAGTATGTTTCGATATTGTTTAAATGATACGTTATCATGCAAAAATGGTATTAAGAAATGAATGATGTGTAACGAAATATTACTAGCCCAGTTAACATTTCATTAAACATTCAATCATGTATAACAAGAAAACAACTCTTACAAATTAGTACTTATCCGTCACAAGAGAACCAACTATCAAGCAGTTAAATGAAGTTATTTCTAAAAAAATTCTTGCATTTAAACTTTACCTTTGTAATCTCCCAATCCCAGTGGGTATCCATAAGTATGATATGTCGAAAAGCCATATTGTATTGCTCCAAATGTTCTACCGGTCACGTGATACAGATGATATTCACCGGAAGACAATTTGTAGACATTAACAGTAAACGTCTCATTGTTTGCGTGTGTCACATAGCTTTGAAAGCTATTTCCCATTTGGTTTCCATTGATTCTTAGTCCAGATATATCCTCAGTTTTTGCAATGATTGTTAAATAATGAGTAAAGTTTTCATTGGTTACAATTACGGAGAAATGATAGGAGTTTCTATATTGAATGATTGCCGGGACTATAGACATGAAAGTGTCACCAGTATCAGCAACATAATAACATGTACTGTACAACATCACCTGAACAGGTTTGTTTGCAGAAACATACATTGTGACATTGCCGCTTAAAATTTCATGAAAATCACCAGCTTTCAAAAGAATTTGCATACTTTGATTCATTGTATTACGAAATGTGATAGATGTGTTTTGAGTTGAGCTATATATTCGCACTACATGATGTGATTTTGGCGGTACCGGGGGAACGATAAATTCTCGAGCGAAATGTTGGGTAGGCAAAAGTTGCTCTACAATATATTCTGCATAGGCACATGTTATTGGTACTGATGTAGCCTCGTGACCAGAGAAGACGGCTACAGATGTATTGCTGCTAACTCTTGCTCCACTTAAATCGTCATGTCGTCGAACAAGATACGTATCAAGTCTATTCAACACGACTCTAAGTATCTTTTTGCCGACATGTATACTGATGTAGGTGGCGTCATGTAAAGCAACAACTAGAAAATCACTTTTATAGCTGGAATATGGTTTATACGACGATATTATATATTCAGTAGACAACATGGCCGTCGGAAGTGCCAAAAACCCTTCCCATGTACCAATTGGATATTTCATAACAGTAAGTGTGACGTCGACATCTGTTGTCACATGTATACCCTTGTGTTACACAGTTGTATTTAACTTTGTTATGGTGTCACCAGTTACCTTGTATTCTAAACTTTGATTAAAACTACGTGTTGTGTTTATGCCTAAATGTGGTATATAGATTATAGCCGTTCCAGTCATATTTGAGGTAATGAGAAGTGAAAACTCTAGCAAATTGTCGTTATATGTTTTGAGTATACTTATGTAAAAGTCTCGTCCAAAAGTGCCTGAAAAAAATGTAAAAGCGATCAGTCAGAATCACGAAGGAACGCTAAAAAATGATGGCGTATATAGCCATTTAAAACATTCTAGTAAATTCTCAATTAAAAGTTTCGTCACATTATGCTTTGTAACACCGCACTTTGGGGGCCCAACGCACTTTGGGGTTCGACCCCAAAGTGCGTTATGTACTTTGGGGTCCGACCCCAGAGTGCGATACGCACTTAAGGATCCAATGTTGGCCCCAAAGTGCGTTAAACAGGTACATATGCATGGTTTAACATCAGACAAACGACCGCACTTTGGGGTCATAAAAAGTCAATCAATAAAATGGAATTTTCATGATGTTTTAAATGATATACTGTAATCAAAGCCAATGATAAACAAAATTCAAGATATTAAATAGACGAAAACCATGTGCCCTGAATTATAATATACTCAATAGGGATTTTAAATGATCTTGGTCAGATAGTGAAGAACTTTCATCAAATAAAGAATTTGTATCAATTTACAAGCTCAAACTTTTTTTCTTACATTTTCCATTTATTTTAAAAGAATGTACAACTTTCATTAACATCATTGTTTTTAGATAATTGCATCATTTTCCCGGGTTTTTTATTTACACATTTTATGGAAATATGATAGTCTTAGCAAAGACAAATGTATAAATCCTGGGAAATCTAAATAAAACATTTCAGTAAAGAAATTTTCCTGATAAAATCATGAAAAGGCCATTTATTTAGCTTATCTAAATGTGCCAATTAAGAAACTTGACAAGGTGTAGATGCGACCTTAAGTAGTAGTAGTTCGTAACTATTTAAGTATATAGTCACACATTAAGAACACATTAATTAACCCTTTCGCTGCCAGAGGGTTATTGTTTTATTGTTCACCTATTTGCCAGAGGGTTTTCTAAGAAATTACTATATTATTAATTAATATAATTATTATTATTTCTTATTAGTATTAAAATAATTATATATGTTTCCAAATCTGTAAGTATAATGATAATTATTGTCGATGGTATAATTTTCTTTATATTTATTCTTATTCTTATTATTATTATTATTTATTTATTATTATTACTATAATTATTAAAGAAACGGCTAAAGCCGTCCATATGGCAAATACGCCGAAAACAACAGGGACGGCTTAAGCCGTCCCTATGGCAGTGAAAGGGTTAAGAACGAAACTTCATAAAAATGTAAAGTTCTCATTTAGGGGTCTAGAGGGGATGGTGAGGTGTCAATCGCCTCGAGATTATAAAATTAACGTTTTAAAGGCCTATTATGCTTTTATTTGTATTTCTTAAAAGGTTTTTAAGTTTTGTGTACTTCTAAAGTATCCAAAAACTTACCCATTGGCCAATTACCAAAACATCTTTTTCATCTGTTGCTTTTTGAGTACAGTTATAGTGAGTTAGTATTTTATATGGAAGTACCATATTACATTGTTTACATTTTGCTACTTTTATGACAAATTATTACACATTTTTCGCTAAATTATTTAGGTAACAAGCATCTTACATTTCTCTGATACCATCAATTAACACTATAAAATTCATGTTTTCCCTTTCTAAAGAAGTATGTAAGATTTCCCATTAAAAAAGCCTCTGGCGAACGGTTGTTACGGAACTTACAAACAAACTTAAGTTTGTTGATAAGCTTAATAATGTATTTGTAAAAATCACTATTTATAGTCCGATCGAGAAACTTTATATTCTACCAGAACATTGCAATAGAGTATATTTGTAGTTCTTTGGATAAAAAATATTAACTGCATTTATTTAAAGCATCATATTTAAATAATATTAAGGTATTAAATAGACGCAAAACATGTGAATTATAGTAGAATCAATAGGGATTTTAAATGATCTTGATCAGTTAGAACTTTCCTTAAACCATATTTAAAATGGGGCACAATATGGCACCAAAAGTTATCAAGTAAATGACTGACAGAAGATGATACTTTTCGCAGCATCTTTTAATTTTAGGAATTCATTCACAATTTATGTACTAGAGTGCCTTGTTATATGGACACAATTTTCAGATATTTCAAGTGGTAAAATTAATGAAACTATTATCAGTAAAGCATCAAACAAAGTATCAACCGTCATCTTGAACTCCACCGCAAATATTTCAATGTCGCAGATCGAAAATAAGTCAGTACTTAGTATTTAAGCAGAACTCTGTTGACATCTTCAAAACTCTTGCACCCAAAGTGCGTTAATATGCAGCATATTTACGCAGTTTGGGGTCAATTTCTCGATTATAACCCCAAATTGCGTTGGACCCCAAAGTGCGATGCGAAGTGTAACGCACTTTGGGGTCGGACCCCAAAGTGCGTTGGACCCAAAGTGCGGTGTTAGAATGCCTTCACGAAATTTGTGATTGAGTTTAAACAAACTGGTGATATTCAGTTGAGTACTTGCGCCGTTATTATTTTATCAACCACACGTATCGGTGTTGGTCAACTGTCGTTTTCACTCTTTTAAATAAATCGAATTGAATCCTTGCGCTATCATGAATCGGCTGACGAAATTACAGTTGCATGGAGAGGTTATAGGAACCTTCTATTTACTAGTGCCACGTTATAGATATAGCGTTTGTACGCGATAGCTAATACGACCGCACGTGATAGCTAATAGAGCTTACGTGATAGTATTACGTGACTTCCAGTCGTCTATTACCTATGCACGTTAAAGTCATTATGTGACCATGCGATGTGCATGTGTGCACGCGTACGTAATAACTATCCTGTGATCACGTAAAATTATTGTGTGTGTGCGTAATATATATAGCGTGACCACGTACTAAATAAAAAAAATCCTATGTCCCCTGTATGCCACCTTGCCACCGTACAAAATTATTGCATTGTTTTATATATTAATTACTAATAAACGTTTGCCCAAATATAAGATATGACTGAATTAATTAGTTTATGCTACTCATTTACTGAATGCTTGTCTATAAATAGTCAGGGTGAAAGGATACATGATTGTCATCTCACAAGAATCATGATTATTTGCCTCTATTAACGAATGAGTGTCCCTATGCATTTTCTTGATAAATTGAAACTTAGTCTTTGAGCTAGGGAAGGCCTAAGTTTGAACATTTCTAGCATCTTTTTCGCATAAACCGTATTTTTTACCGTGTAAACGTGGCGTCTATTTGAACAATCGCGCATGCGAGTTTTAGCTAAGCCTTCATCAAACTTAATATTCACATTTCGGTTCTTTCCGTCAAGCTTGTAATAAGGACCTCGGGTACAGAAGAATTACACAGAACGGATACGGACGTTCGGTCCATCCTACACTAAACTAAATCTATAGATATAAAAGTTAACAATTTATTATTCATATACATGTACTTATTATTATATTTGTAGAAACAAAAAGTACACAAAAATTTATCTGTAGACGATTTTGGTAATAATTGAACATTAGAGGGCATTTTTTAAATTGAATATGATTGTTAGATATGTTTTAAAATCAGGTAAGTTTTTCATGTAGGCTATATGTAATTTATACATACAATGTTTACTTGACTGACATTGGGATTTCTTATACATAGAAGTTGCATTAAAAGAGGCATATAATTTTATCTTACCTGTGCACCTTGTTTGTCCAAACGTATGAACCAAAATGAATGCAAAAACCAAAACACGATTCTGAAATGTTATTTGAAATAATTTATGCAAATGTTATCTGAGCGTTCCCAAAATAAAATGAGAATAAAGAACAGCAAAGATAATTTTGTTTCTTGACACTTTGAAAATAATTTCTCACACTGAATGACAGTTTTAAAAGTTTATTCAGGAGTTAGATAAATTATGAGAGCAAAATGCGACGCTTGTTTCTATAGTCAATAATAATTTTGATTTCAACAATGTTGAAAGCGATATCATTTGAGCGTCTTTTGCCAGTTCGGATTTAAGAAACAAAAAACCTTGAATAAATGTGATATGCATTTTCACGGGGGAGGAACTGTTACACCAGGGATGAAATTCTTATGATAATTTGTCATAGTTCTGTCATAGAGTTCGACGGAAAACTTTTGTTCATACTACAAAATCACTCGTCAGAAATTTTACTCAAATCTATCAGATTTTAAGCAAGAGGCGATGAAAAATGGCCTAAGAATTAAATTTTGACACATAATACAAGATGTTAGGGAAGCTTTATCATCAAAGTTTACATTTAACACCTTAAACTCACGTTTTAAAGATGAAAACACAAAAACTCCTGACAAGTATTCATAAGAACTCCATCCTTCGTGAAACAGTTCCTGCTTCTTGATTTTGACAAATTGACAAGTAAAAACTTACCATTGTAACTAACATCATGCAACGTAGAAAGCCTGTCACTATGTAACAATCACTAAAATTTAATAATGACCTAATTGATAAGGAAAATCTTAAGAGATAAAAAAAATTTCAGTTCACAAAAAATTTTGATTCACCTATTTTTGGTGGCCATCAGTTTATCACACGAACACATCTATGGTGGGCTTTCGTTGCCAAATTTCCAAACATGCTAAACTGTTCATTGTATTTGTATTATTGACGAACTGAAATTTATCTCTGTCATTATGAAAACGAACTTCTTGCATTCACTTGTCCTAATTTGTAGGTTGGAAGCCTGATTAAATAATTCATGACTTTCCTTTTATGTCGCTTGTGTTAAAATTGATATGTACATGTATATATCGATATAAATATATTGCCATGCGCACTAACTTTTGCGCACTAACTTTTGCACGTGTGTTTACATGTATTTAATTTTTTAAAAAATAAGGAAAAAACCCTTTCCTTTTCACAAAATAACATATACATTTTATAATTTGGAATGGTACATTTACAACCCCGTAATAATTGAGGTATTCTACATAGTTCAGACTATATTATGGGACCACTCAAAGCGACAACAAATACGGATTTTCCGAGACATGTGTTTTTCATGAATGCTTGACGCTCCCTACCACTAACCTACAATCACATTCGGGAATATTCGGTATTTGGAACAAGCTCCTGTTGATACGGATTAGAAGTCATCTTAATTCGCGATTGACTTGTCAGACTAATGTATTAATTTTCCAATATGCTTTTATTATAAGAGGTGACCAAAAACCTACCATAAACTAAAGAATTTAGCATTCATGGTAAAGATGGGACTTTTTTAGGAGAATAACATGCCTGACACATCGAAATGATCTTGATGTATAGGGGTGATCGACTATTTTTTTGTATTATGATCCCAAAGATGATTATCCCCCTTTTTCACTGATTTGTTTCTGCTGATCACAGAACTGACATATATTTTTTTTTAAATTAAAATATCCAAATGAAAACATATCCAAGATACCTATGAATCAGTTCATTTTCGTAAGAAAACTATGTAGCGTTAATTTCTAAAATATACATCATACTCGTGAATATCACATTTTCATCCAATCACCTGATGTCCACTAGATTTTACTGGTTTCTTGCACTTTTTGCAACCAATCGATGTTACAATACAGTAATCTGACCAATTGTTGGAAGAAAAATTAAAAGCCGGGACCAGGTATTGCGACAGGAAAAAGAACTCGACCATGGAAATTAGTTATTTTTTAATATTTTGTCTAAAATACACATTACATCAAATGATGTGTTTCAACGAGTCGATATCATGTTAAACAATTGGAAAACTTAATTACGATATATTTCAATGTTATCTCTGATTACATTGAAAAAAAAAACCTTTCGGATGTTTCCTCAATTTTTGAATATATTAGTGTGACCTGAACTGCGCATTGACATGCTTTAGTCTTGTGGATATAAAATAATATTTTACAGATTAGAAAAGCTTTCTTTCTGATTTAAATCATTTAGAACAACAAATATTTAAATGAATAATGATTTCTCTCAACAATGTTGATGTTTGAAGTGAGCAAAATACGTCCAGAAGTTTCCGGACACTATATTGGTCAGATAGCAAAATGAAATGGGCTTGGATAAACGTCAGCTTTTGGACTTTAAATTAATAATTTGATGAATGAAAAACTGTTTCTTGTTAATGTTACTTACAAGAACAATTATTATACTTGATTTACGATTTATTTCACAAAAATCTTTGTTAAAGTACAACATAAAAACACATACTGAATCAAAATAGTTAGAAAAAAGAGTTTTTCAGCACAAACTTGCTTTGTATACATAATTATCACGATTTAAAAATATGAAGGGATTTGTCATAATCAATCTAAAATATCTAAAAGACAGACGTAAAGTGCTTATATTTGTCTTTTCAAAATATATGATATATATCCACAATATTGTTAATGAAGAAGTTATTTGAGGACAGGCTAAATAACAAGGACATTTAGTCACCTTGGAACTTGTAAAATATCGAAGAAAAGTTCTATTTCATGTTCAAAGAGAGTGCAAGCATAACGTTACATGGCGCTAATGGCCTATTGTATAGTTTTTGAATTGGGTGCCCGCAATTATTCTATCTTGCCATGGAAATTAGCAATACAAACATTATTAACAGTCATGGTGAATAGCTTCTGGATTTCCCTTTGATTTTAGCCAATGGTTTTGTTTAGATTTTCAATTACCAATATACGAATTTAAACTAAGAATTCGCACAAAAAAACCGGATTTTTATGCAAAGCGTATGTGACAAAATTTTCTGTTTCTCTAAGCATATGGCGTCATTTTACACATAAAATTACCCGTATTTGAACTTGGTCTAAAAATTCTGAAACAAACCTCTGATCATATATCTTATAAATATTTCATATAAATAATATTACGTCTATAGCAACAACAAAGATTTGTTGTGACTATACCAACATTAAACACATCTGAAAATAGTGGCCAAATACCGAGAATTGCATGAAACATATTAAGTTACTTCGCACTTTGTTTTATAAACTGCAAGTATTGCAATAAAATATCACATGAATATCTTTACACAAATCATAAAAACTGTTCATGCTACAGTTATATATTTGAATATTCATCCTATTTTCGAGCACTCTCCCCAAGTCCCTGCTGTACACACTTTAACTATGGTTTTACTGTAAACTGAGTAACTAAATTTGTTGATGAACATGTGTTTAATTTTGTTACCTAGGTGTTCTATGCATCGTCAGTCATGGAAAGCCAGGAAAATGTCACATGTGTTAAAATATAAAAATACAAATTTGGATATAACTAAATCACTTATTAATGTTGTAGTTTGCTTAATCTGACTGGATGGTAAACTTGATTCAATAACCACTGTCGCCATCAAAGAGGGCTTGAAATATTTTCCTTTTTTTTCATTCAATTTTGTGACGACCTTCAATGATAAAAATTTCTATTTTGTTATACTTCGAATCTCTTGAATGATTAATACATAAGTAAATTGATGTTAATTTTGTTTTTATTAAGATAAAGTTTTTCTCCCATCACCAAAAAGTAATTTCATGACAACGTCCGAATTCATCCTGAAAGAGAAAAAACAATGCATTAATAAGGGAGTTGCAAATCTTTAATTTGAACAATTACAGTACGTCTCTAGAATAAGTTAAATCAATTTCATTTACATATTCTCTGTTTTCATTCGAGAAAATAATGCATGATAAATTAGCGGGCAATTTGAAGATACAACATCCATACATATTAATAAGTATCATATATTATAACAAAAATAAACAATTCAAACATATTTATCTGATTATGGTTTACACATTACAATAACCTAATTATAGTAAGGTATTTTTTTCCTTTTTGTCCGCAGTGATGTTGTGATTGATAGATTACAGACTTCTGTGTTCAGATTTCTTTTTGTGAAAAAAAATTTGGAATAGACTGACTTTCGTCATCATCATCAATACCATCATCATCATCATCATCGTCATCATCAATATCATCACCCACAAATATCATCTTTACAGTCCGGACACGAATGTTGTGTAAGTGGGGACGCACGGACAGACGGACAGTGCAATTTTAATATGCCGCCCTTCGTGGGCATAAAACGTGGGCCTATGTTTGCATTCTTCTTCATCATCATCATCATCATCATCATCAATATTATCACCCAAAAATATCTTCGTCATAATTATCATAGTTATTATTATTAACATTCTTCTTCACGTTATGGTCACTTATCTTATCTATTTCTTATATTGTTAAAAGGAGTATGAGTGCACTTACAAATATATGTAAAATATTTACACATAGATGTATAACGAAATAGCATACCAACAATGATGATGTCAGTGCCATTTTGTGACGTCTTTGAGCAATCGGTATTGCAAAGATCAGCGTCACAGCAGGTTTTACATACGGGCGTTGATCGTGATTCTCGTGCAGATGTGACTTCAGTTTGCCTCTTGTGGGAAATGCACTTTAAAGTGAAAATGTGACACTATATAAAAACCTGTTTCTTACTGTTTCTAAATTTACCACTTAGATAACATTAGGTTCACGAGGTTCATCTTCATATCTTTAATCTCAGGACAATCAGACGGCCTTTATATATATCAAGAACATAATAAGACATATGAAGAGACCACCCCCCCCCAAAAAAAAAAAACAGAAAAAAAAACCAAACAAACGTACCAACAAACAAAAAAAACGAAAAAAACAAAACATACACACAACAAAAACCCAAAAAGAACATGTTTGTTTCTATAAATAAATAAAAAGGTCCAAGCGATTCATCTTCAGTGAGTGTTACAGACTGAATTTGGTGAAACCTATATATAACTTTGATTAATATTGAGAACTTTCCTGTTATTTCAATCACCGAACCACATTTGTCAAAAGTTATTTTGTTAGAGAAAAAGATGATTTTTTTATGTAAAATCAGTTCTTTATAGCAATGATTTTAAAATGTGGATATCAATGCAAAACAAAAGTAATTGAAAATCGTTCGATTTGTTGAATCATGTTAATGGAATAAAATTTCTGTTACATGTCAAATGTCTATATCAACGTTAAATATGTAGTTTTCTATTTTTCATAACTAACAAAATCGGTATCAATGTTCCAGAAAGATCAGACAATCATAAAAACACTAAAGTGTTGTATTTTATATCAATACCTGTTTGTTATGACATTTTGCTGTGTAATGGTCATATACCCCACCCCAGTCATACTTCTCCACGCTACAAATCTAGGAACAAAATAAAAAACACAATTTTTTAAAGATATTTTATGTCAAGTTTCTCATCACTTAACTGCCTGCTCATTCTAATGAGGAAGCTACAAAGTAGGTTTTTTTCTTAATTTATTTCGTAAAGTTAAAGCCATTTTTGTTTGTTTGTTTGTTTCATTTAACGCCTTTTCCCAACAGTATTTCAGTCATATAGCGGGTAGTTTTCCCCAAACCAAACGTTTTTGGAAGTTTAAATAAATACCAAACTACCCTTCCCCCGCGCTAAAAATACCCCCAAAACATTTTCCCGGATCGAGCCCACCCAGAAAGGGAACTGGATTTTAAAAATCATTGACTTAACCCCTTTGACCACCCGGGGGCCCGGGTTTTCTAAAGCTTAAATTTTTAAAAAACGAGCAAAATCAAAATAACTTATATTACAAAAATTTTAAAAAGCATTGAATTTTCGACCGGGTGCCAAGGAACGGGAACCAAAAAATAAAGAATGAAATGTCAAAAATTTTTTTAAACTAACAGGGGGAAAAAAAAAAGCGATTTAACCCACAAACCCTTAAAAATTTTTTTTTTCTAATTTCTAATTTATACACTTCTTTAATACGAAGAGTTTTTAAAATGTTGTTTTTACCCTCGTCTTTTGAAAAACAGACTTTTCTGTCTTACACCCCAATCCATATTAGCATACGAGCAGGGTTTGCCCTAAACCGGGGCCCGTTGTTGAGGGGGGGCAAACCCGAGAAAAAATGAATATGATTGGGGAAAAACTATAAAAAATTTAAAATTGAAGTCCTGAAAACACCAGGGCGTTTTAAAAATTGTTGGGCATTTTTTGCCTTTTTTTTGAAAAGCGGCCCAAATCCCAAAAACAGAATTCCCCTTTTTAAAATTGGGTTTGGGGGTTTTTTTCCTTTTTTTGCCAGGGGGCTGCGTGGGCAGCAAAAACCAAATCGGAAAAACCCCGGGGACCCCAAGAAGCCCGGAAAAGCCGAGTTTTTTACGGGTTCGCAGAAAAAAGAATATTTATAACGCACCATTAAAAACATTTAAAAAACCCCCATTTATTTTCTTAAAAAAATTACCGTTTTTGGGATTACGAAAAAGGGGTTCTATGGGATTTTTTTAAAAGTTTAAACATAAAAACTTTGTTTTTGGTACTGGGTAAATGCACGTAACAAAAAAAAGTCAAAAAAATTGTTTTCTTTTTCCCTTTAAACTCCCCAAAAACCCTTTTAATTGCAAGGTATGAAGAGCAGCATGAACAAATTCGGATTTTACTTTTGACTCGTTTTTCCCTTTCTTAAATAAACATTTTGTTAAGTTTAAAAAAAAAAAATTTACAAAATAAATTGAAAAAAACAACAACACTTTTTCTAATATTACACATTTTGAATTTACTTTACTATCATCAAATGTTTCTTTCGAATGAATTCGTGAATGTTCAACTTGATCGCCGTTACATTCAAGACAATTCGTTTACTTTGTATCCCGCGCTGAATACGGGTTATTATTAATCACTTTATGTTCTTAACATTGTTTTGTCCAAATATACAGTGTATATACAAAAATAGTAAATAAATGACAAAGATATTCTTACAGTTTACAAAAATATTCAATAATTTGTTCTGGAAGGTCAAGGTCATTTGGAGCTTAAGGTCACGAATTAATTTTCAAGTATTTATCAAGTATTGATGGCTTCCATAAAGTTTCGTTGAAATCCAGTAAGTAGTTGCCAAGAAGTATCGTTGGCAGAATATTACTCTGTATATTTTGGCCATGCAGAAGATATGTGCATCTTATCTCATGCGCATCCGGAAATTACCTCGGAAAGAAAATTCGGACGGAAGCATGGACGGACTTTCTTAGGGGATAGACCTTATGGGGTTGTTTTATTTCTCCTTTGGTCTTTTTTAAACATCACAATCAATATTTTTATACTCGACAATATGTTTTAAGCCAAGAATTTGTTCGGTATGAACAGGGGATAAAAACATTCAAATCATGGCGTGTTCCTCTAAAGAAAAAAAAATTGAAGACATTTTTTCAAAGAATCAATAACATTTTTACTTTTAATATCTATTATGGTACAAACGCATGCGTGCGTGCGTATAGTTGTGTGTGTCACTGTGTATGTGTTTGTTTAGTTGATTGTTTGTTTGTTTACCTCGGAGGCCAAGCATCCGCTGTTATATTCCACCTGCCCAATGTTGGTTCTATAGGTTTCCACATAACATACCTTAAAAATACAAATCACGTTTACCATGTTTAGATCCCCTATCGTCTGTCTGGTCTACGTAGTTCTGTTAGGACCGGCGCATTTTCTGTGTGAACGAGCAGTTTGAAGCACGGAAGTACGATTGTAACTGTCCGTCGTTCAGTGGTATTGTCATCACCAAACTGTCGCGCTTGGTCATCATACTGACGTACTCTCACGGTCTTGCTGTCAGAGAAAACGCACTGGCCCTAACGAGCACCGTAGTGGTCAGACTGTATGACATAACAGTACGATGGTAACAATTTTTGTGTCGCCTCTACGGAGTAGTGGCTACATATAGGGATCACTTCTCCGTCGTCTGTCTGTCCGTCTCTCCGTCCGTCCGCACTCACAGGAGAGTATTTATGTGGCTAGAGGGACTATAGGTAACTGTTCTTTCTCTTTGATGTCATTCATTCTGTAATGCTTTTATGTGGCTATTTTCTTTTGTGTGGCTAAAAAGAACAATAGAGAGAACAATAGAGTAGCCACATAATTACTGTCCTGTGAGTCTGTCTGTCCGTCGGTCCGTCCATCCGTCACAAAACTTGTCCGGACTACTCCTCATAAACTACTGGTGCAATTTCATCCAAACTTTACAGGAATGTTCAGTGTCCCAACATGAAATTGGCCATCATGAGGCGACACATGTGATACCTGATCGCTCTTGTTGTTAATATGAACATGTAAATAAATTATACAGTTTCAATACTATTTTCATACAAAATTTCAATTGCAAGTTCGTGAATAAAATTTATTTCAACCTCTGCAGAACACTTTTATGTAGAGCAATAACCTCTTTGCAATAACACTATATACATGTATGTATAGTGCAGCAGTTTAAATAAAAACACATAGGGACACGCATGTTGTTACTCTACCATTAAAGCTTGGAAGACGTCATTTTCTGTTTAAAGTGTCAACGTAACTATAAACCAGGTCAACAAATGGTAATGATATGAAAATGTAAAACATGTATACCTGGCCGCTCGAACATTTAGTAACGGTGTCACAGAGGTACAAATGAGTCATATCTTTACAGTCGAAACACTTCAATCCGTCATTCCCTGTGCTCTCTGATAACCAAAAAGATATGGAAATTGAGAAATACTTTAACAATGGAATGAGCATTAGGTTTTTATTAATTTTGCGAGAAGGAAGTAAATCTTTATTGTATTCCAAATCAGTGATGATCCAGATTTTTTAAAAATGTTACCAGCACTTTTATTGTGAGGCGGAGTGATTATGATCGTTGACTTGAAAACACTTGCCTCTTACCTCTGTGGGTTGTGGGTTCGAGTTGCACCATCGGTCTCGCAAAATATCAATTTTCCAACGTTGCGAGTAGCACAATACACACCATCAGAAGCTACTACTATACAATTATTGAATAGTGAGCCATTGAAAATGATGTCATATTCACCGGTAAATGTCATATTGACCGAGGCGATTACCTCTTTAAGTTAATAGAATAAAATAATCCGTAACACAACATTATCCGATGTAGATTTTTATCTTTTATTAATGATTTCGTACATGCACATAAGCAAATGAACATGTATGCAAACATAGTTCTATCATACATATATTTTGAAAATATTATTTTTCAAACTTATAATGTGCGTTGTCGCCTCAAAAATTATCCCAAATGAAGGTTATTTTTACAAAATCCGCTATCATTTGCACCAGTAAAGTTTTGCACAGAAATAACTTTACGATCACACACACCATCGCCCCCAACAGCCCTACTCTGTATATACAAATCCTTTCTTAACAATTTAGTTTCAATTCATTTCTATATATAACTGTACTAAAAACGTTTTTTATCGTATGATGTATGTTGTGTTACGGATCATTTTATCCTATTCAGTAATACATATAATATGCATGTTTGTTCAACAACACAGACATTACTTTATTACAAATCTTTTGAAAGTCTACCATAATATTACGGAAATAACATAGTATTAACCGTTTATAGATTTTATAAAAAAATATTTCAGTAGATAAATACGGAATATCTTGTTTCAGAAGGTGATCTGTCAAGAAAAGTAAGTATTAAGAAATGAATAATGTTAAACATAATATTACAAACCCCAGTTAAGAATCACATAAAACATTTAATTATGTATTTTAAAAAAAACCCTATTATATACATGTACCAGTATTATTACTTATCCGTCACAAGAGAACCAACTATCCAGCGGTAAAATTAAGTTGTACGATAATAAATAATAAATTTAAATCATTTCTAAATAAAGTAATTGCATTTACCTGTGTAAACCTCCATCCCAAGTGGGTATCCGTAAGCATAATATAAATAAAAGCCATATTGTATTGCTCCAAATGTTCTACCTGCCACGTGATACAGATGGTATTCACCGGCTGTCAATTTGTATACGTTAACTGTAAACGTCTCATTGTTTGCGTGTGTCACATAGCTATAAAAGATATTTCCCATTTGGTTTCCATTGATGCTAAGTCCAGATATATCCTTAGATTTTGCAATGATTGTAAGATAATGAGTAAAATGTTCTTTTGTTGCAATAACGGAGAAATGATAGGAGTTTCTATATTGATTGATTGCCGGGACTATAGACATGAACACGTTGCCAATATTAGCATCATTAAAACATGTACTGTACAACATCACCTGAACAGGTTTGTTTGCAAAAACGTACATTGAGTCATTACCGCTTAAAATTTCATGAAAATCACCAGCTTTCAAAAGGAGTTGCTTATTTTGATT